AAGTGAAATCAGCACAATTTGACAGGTTTCCATCGACTTGAATTTGATTCTACGTCGCATTTGATGTGAATTAATGCTTCGGTGGAAACTAGACCATTGTGAGGGACGGAAAATTGAGGGCGCTATAATGAACTCATCGTGGAATGTTCTTAACGCAGGTGACAGAACGTGGTCGTCTTCAGATCTTTCTTATCACTCTGCTGTAGATCTTACCGTAGCTTCCTCAGACTTGGTTCCGTATTGTCAATGGAGGGTTGACGATTATAACCATGGAAGTAACCACTACCCGATATATGTTCGCGTTTTTCATAAGTTCTCGGGCAACATTCCTTGCCGCCCTTTTGTCCACATTAAACATGTGGACTGGAATGAATTCCAATCACAGTGCACTAAATTACTTAAAAAAATGACGGATGAGCCCAGTAGTCTCACTCCCAATCTCGACATTAATGTAACCTATAATCAAATTACAGACTTTGTTCTGGGGCGCTGGTCAATTCTGGGGTTAAAGTTATAACCTCTGCCAATCCATCACGGAACCCTCCTACTCCTTAGTGGGATGAATCCTGTACGTCTGAACTTTGAAGGAAAAAACGCGCATTTGATGCGTTTAAGCATCACCCTAACCTGGTTAACTTAACTGCTTACTGTAACGTTTCTAAGGAGGTTTCTAGATTTCTTCGTAAAAAGAAACAGGCTGCATTCAAGACGTTTTGTGGCTCATTACACGCCAACTCTGACCTCGGCTCTGTTTGGAGCATTGTCAAAGCCTTCACGCATGCCAGAAATTACTCGCGCAGTCATAGCAATCGCAATAATATTGACTTTGACGGTCTAAACAAGTCATTTGACAAGATTGCTCCCACCGTCCCACCTACAATTCCTGACTACGCAAACTTACTCAGCAGTGTTCCTCCTGTAGCTGATAGTTGTCATGATCGATCCTTTTTAAAGGCTTCAATAAGTAAGGAGGAGTTCATGTCCGTTATAGACGCTCTTAAAGTCAAGTCGGCTCCTGGCCCGGACCTAATTTTCAATACAATAATCTCACACTTCCCTGAAGAGCTTTATACTTATGTCCTAAAGCTGTTTAATGAAATGTTCAGTCAGCAGGTCTATCCTGATCAGTGGAGAAATTACTTCGTGGTTTTCATTCCAAAACAGGGTAGAAAAGGGGCGTACCGCCCTATTTCTTTAGCCAACAACTTGTTAAAAGTCCTAGAAAAGATTCTGTGTCGACGAATGGAGTAGTGGAAAACAATCACATCATTCCTTCTTGTCAGTTTGGGTTTAGACGGGGTCTTTCGTGTACCGACAACCTTGCAATCTTTGGTCTAGTTTCCACCGAAACCCTCAATTCGGTTTCACTCCGGTACTGATCAAATTTAGTGCTCTGTTTCCATTGGAAGTAGAGTACTTATAGATCAAAGCGAAAGTGAAATCAGCACAATTTGACAGGTTTCCATCGACTTGAATTTGATTCTACGTCGCATTCGGTGTGAATTAATGCTTCGGTGGAAACTAGACCTTTGTCTCAAACATTAAGCTTGCTAGTAATAATCGTCAAACTGGAGCTGTTTTTCTTGATATCGAGGGTGCATTTGATAATGTCCTCCCTCCCGTCATACTCTCTATGCTCCCACTTATGGGATTCCCTCCCGAAATCGTAAGCTTCGTGTCTGCAGTCATATCTTGCAGGAACCTTGAGGGATTTGTTTCTGGAGTTCCACTACAGAAACGGTCTACGTCGGTGGGTGTCTCACAAGGCTCAGTTTTAAGCCCTTTACTTTTTAGCCTTTATATGTCGTTCGTTGAAATGTGCCTACCTCTACCAGTGAAGATAATCATGTATGCGGACGATATCGTCATTTATTGTTCACATTCTTCAGTTAGGTATGTAGCCCATCAACTCAATATTGCGCTAAAAAACCTAAGCGCACACTTATCTGATCTGGGACTTAGACTATCTCCAGAAAAGTCAGTCGCCACCTTTTACTCTCTTAATACTTTAAGAAATATAAAGTGGCAAATCCGTAAGGAAAACATTAAGTTTACTTTGAACAATAAAACTGTACAAATAGCCTGGAAAGTCAAATTTTTGGGCGTGTTTCTCGATTATGCTCTCAAGTGGAAAACTCACGTTTCTGAAATTCGTAAAAGAGATCTTCCAAGAATAAGTGTTCTCAAAGCTATTGCTGGAATTAAATGGGGTGCTCATCCGAGTGTTCTTTCTACTGCCTACAAGGGTCTGGTGAGGTCAGTGTTGGATTGGGGGTCTCAGATAACGTCTCCTCTTGGGGATCAAGAGGCTCTTGTCCTTGATAGACTTCAGTATGCATGTTTCCGTGTAGTTTGTGGCTTCATGCGTACCACATCCACCAATGTACTCTTGGACGTTCTCAATGAACATCCTCTCCGAAGTAGACGCAAGTATCTTTTGCGAAAGTACGCATGCCGCGTGGCTTCACGAACTGACCACCCTCTTAATCTCATGCTATCTCAATCCCTATCTAACTGGGAACCAATATGTGATGATAATCGATTTGATCTGTTTGACGTCTTTGTACACCTCGCTCCGTTGATCCGACAGATTGAACCGAGACCTTTGCCGGGGTTACTTGCGTTCTCGTTCAACGTACGTTACTTCAAGTGTCCAGTAGACACTGAATCGGGTTTGACCTTCAGAACTGCAACTTCTCCACAACAGGCCTTCGCCTCGTTTCTCGTCGAAAAACGTGCCACATATGTGTTTTATACTGATGGTTCCCGCGTACCCCCTTCTGGAAGTTCTCCTGCAAGGGTAGGATTCTCAGTGGTGTCTGAATACCCGGATATGACACACTATTCCCGAATCAATAATCATTCTTCAGTTTTTGATGCTGAAACCAGGGGCGTACTCTGCGCGTTGGAGTACATCAGTGACTTTGGGTTCGGTCAATCGTATGTAGCCACGGACTCGTTAAGTGTCCTTAGGTGCCTCGACTCCTTTGACCCGCAGAGCAGTCATCCTACAGATATCTATAAAATAAAGACGCTTACCTTAGAGTTGCTTGCGCGAAAAATTCGGGTTGAGTTCCTTTGGGTTCCTGCTCATAAGGGCATCCGGGGGAACGAAATGGCAGACCAGTACGCTAAAAAGGCTTTAGATATGCCGGAACCAAACTCTTCAGAAACTTGCTCCGCCAGATCAGTTTTTCCTAGCCTTCGAGCTATGGCGGTTGAAGAGTCCACTGCGTTTCTTACAACTGAGGCCCGGTATAAAGGCCTTCGATATTTTCGGCTCAAAGGAAAGGTTTTGGGAAAACCGTGGTGTGAGGGTACCACAAAACCCCTCCCTAGATCTTTGATCTCCTTGATATCCCGCATTCAGTCATTTCATACTAGCGCACGTTCGCATCTAGCTAACAAAAACATTGTCGACTCGGCTGAGTGCCCGTGCGGTCACGCAAACCAGGATCTTGACCATATCTTTTTCAACTGCCCAATGTATAAAGACTCATCTGATCAACTTTTGATAGATCTTTTCCATAGTGGCTTCAGCCCGCCCTACAAAGTGGCTAGTATAGCCAGAGAGAAACCTAAGAGCGGCCATGCCATTGTAGTTTCTTACGACGGTTTCAACCGCTGGTTTTAGTCGTATTTCTACAAAAGTGGAACTCAAAGGCCGTTCTCCATGAAACTCAAGTCGCAGGTCTCGTGGAACTGATCAATCACGTTGGTCGATTGGCTGATTTGACTCTGCAATTGGTCAATTCCACGAGATCTGATACTTGCGTTTAATGTAGAACGGCCTTTGAGTTCCACTTTTTGTGGAAATACGGCTAAAACCAGCGGCTGAAACCGTCGTAAAAAATTACAATAGGATGGCCGCTCTCAGATTTCTCTCTGGTATAGCTTTCTCAGACAATATTCGCGCTATGCACGCCATGTTATGTTTCGTAACACGCGCGCAAATATCTCTTTAAGCTTTACCAATCTCTTGTTTTTATCACTCCTGCTTTTACTCCTTCCCTTTTCTCTTACCATGCACAAGACAAATATCCCTACACTGGACATGATCACTCGCCTTCACAGTTTATCTTTCCCTATACGGAAAAGACTGCTCAGCAAAGGTGCTCCAAGCCTAATATCAGTCAGAAGTTCCTAGAATGGCTTCCTAGAATGGCGTATGGACTAACTTAATTCGGTCCACTGAGCCAATTTTGCACCAAACTAAACCTACTCGCAATGTAAATATGATAAAGATAACAATTCTTTTTCTTCTTCCGAACTACTACTACTTGTATCATCTATAATTTCTATTATAGCTGTACATATTGCCACAATAGGTTTTTTGTCCATGATTTGGTTAATAACGTACTTGCAAGTAATCTTTTTTTATACTGTCACGTGAGTGTACTGTAACACCGTTCGTTTATACCATGGTTTATACACCCTGACATTTGCACTGGCAGCATTGAAGTAATTTCGGAACGGCTACGGCAGTGCACTGTTATTATGTCACTTTGGCAGTACTGCCAGTAAAAAACGAACCCAGCCCAATTTGTCTTCAACGAATAATTTGCATTTGGCCTGTTCTACAATACAGTCGTAAGCCGTAAGTCGTAAGAAATTGACCAATCACAATCGATTATTCTTCTGTGATTTATCTATGATTGTTCAATTTTTTACGACTTACAGCTTACGATTGTATTGTAGAACAGGCCTAAAGACCTGTTCTACAATACAATCGTAAGCTGTAAGTCGTAAAAAATTGAACAATCATAGATAAATCACAGAAGAATAATCGATTATGATTGGTCAATTTTTTACGACTTACAGCTTACGACTGTATTGTAGAACAGGTCTTAAGGGTCGTCTACAATGGAGAGTTGTAGGCCGTAACAGTAAGAAATTGACAAATCACAATCGATTATTCTTCTGTACTTTGTCTGTGATTGGTCAATTTCTTACTATTACGGCCTACAACTCTCCATTGTAGACGGCTCTTTAGACACAGACTGACGTATGGACTACCCGAGTAGGTCCACAGAGCTATAATTGCAAAGAAGAAAAAGAATAATCTGTTAAAACTGATCTACAGTCAAGACTATTTTTTTACTCTATAAACTGTAGTGTTTTATATAAAAGTGCCTTATATAATTATTCAAATAAAGAAGAAAGCATGGGTTTGTTTTCTTTAAATAATTTTGTTTCTAAAGTTTTGTATGATTTCACATACATAAATATATTAGACAATAATCATGTAAAACATAATAATACCGCAATAACTTTTATTTATTGATAAGTTACTTTTTTCAACAGATGAGCTGAATTTATCAAGTCTAGAGATCGAAAACCAAACTTCTAAGAGTGAAGAAGATTATTTATTTGACAAAGTGATTGGACATATTGAAGATTTGTTATTAGGTACAAGATTACAATAATGATGCAAAAATTATGTAAAATTGATATGTTTAATAATGAATATAAAAATGTGTACATGTATTAATTTTTCAGAAGAAGGCTTTCAAGCCCTTCAGCATAAATTTTTAGAAAAATACTGGGATGTCTTTGAACCAGTAGAAGATAACAAATTAATTTATACTAATATATTTAATGAATATGTAAGTATATAAATTTTAAAATGTACCATAAAAGTATTTTTCTGAGACATCTCATGTTTTCCAGACTAAAGCTGTAGAGGTATATATTGTAGATTATCTCAAGAATGTCATGCCACAATTCACTATAGATATTCTTTTACATCAGTTAAAGTAATTATAAAATTATAATATAGGAAAGTATAATAGAAATCATATATAAGTAACATAGAAGTATTTTTTTACATAGTTTTTTTTACATGCAGTTTTATCTAACAAACTTTTCATATTTCTTTATTTTGTATATTTATAACAAAACAAAATTCAGGAAAAAACAGGCAGAACTGGAAGGTGAAGTCTTTGAAGTACTGTCAACGATAACTGATTTTTTGGCTTTCAAAGAAATGGTCCTTGATTACAGAGCAGTATGTATAAGAATAATTTTAAAAACTTGCATATTTTTAAAATAAAATGTTGGTTATAGGTAAAAGAAGGTAAAATTGATGATCTCAGCTGTGGAATATCAGTGACATCTTTGAAATCTAGTATAGAAAACAGTACATACCAAGATAATATGTAATTATTAGCCAAAATATGCCTTTAGACAAAGAATAGGATACTAACATATACATATACATATACATATATATTATATATGTATACATATGCAGGATGATTCATAACAACCCATTATCCTTGAAAATACACATTCTTGACTAAATTCTAAGACAATTTTTTATTTGACAAAATTTTTGCTGAAACTTACTTTTTAAGTTGTTAATTAAAATAGGTGACTTATCACGAGTCGGATACAAGAGGTAGGCAGGAGTGGTGCAACTTATCGTGATTGACAGTGATTTATGTAATGCATGGATTAAATGATACAAATTACGAATAAATAAATAAATAAGTGAGAAAAAAAGAGACAGAGAGAGATGCAGAAACTGTAGCGATCAGCTGATCGCGTCAGGCACCACACGTAATCGCCCGCATCTGGCAGTAAGTTGCGCTACCTCTGCCTACCTCTTGTATCTCTTATATATACATATATATGTACAAAGGACTGCATCATATCGTGCGTTCCAGGTGAAGTATTTCTCATATGTCTCGCCAACCACCCGAGATTGAAGGAGAATGGCGCGGCAGTAGAAGAAATTTCCGAGAAATACTACCTCTCAAACCCCACGATATGGCGCACCCCTCTGTATATATAAATGTGTATAAATATATATATATGTGTATATGTATAAATACACACACGCACACACACAATACATACACATATATACATACATACAAATATGTATAAATAAAAAATATTAATTATGTTCAGTACTTATATCTGATGTAAAATTCATATTTATTATGCATTTACAAATAGAATAAATTACAAAAATAATTCAAGTGAGTCTTTTGTGTTGGGCAAATTTCGTAACAACGCTATATACCTGGGAGATTTAAAACTATTAAATAATAAGAGAAGCTATGTTTTTCAGTTCATATGACGCGCAGTTCGATGGATCATATGTACAATCTCATTATACACTTTAAACAAAGAAGAATAAAATAAACTTGGTCGTATAATTGAATATAAAAAAATCGTTTGAAATAATATGTACGACTTTCAGTGAGAAGTATATGAACATTTGTTTAAATAATTCTAAGCTGTAAAAGATAAATTTGTATTACAAACTTAGAAAAGAAGAAATATTAATGCATAAGTATCTCCATTTGAACAAGTTTTCCATTTGTTTCGTTCGGCATACGATACGGCAAGGTTCCTGCGAAATTTGTCAGCGCCCGAGCTTGTTCACGGAGATCGTGCAACTGCTGTTCCCTTGCTATCTCGTCGCCCGGCTCTGCTGCTCGCAATTTCTGATACTGACGATATAATATTGTCATGGTAGCGAGCAGAACATCAGCGAATGTACTAGCGACTTCAGCCGACACTCGACGCAAGGCGTTTACTCTTTCGGCGACATCTTTCACGTGAAGAGGCAATATCTTTGAATCCGCAATCGTCTGTAGCAAAAAGTAAAATTTAATTATTTTTAAAAATCTTTACTTTTTTTACTCTACTTACTTTACTACTCGTTTATTAAGTCTAAAAAAAAATTATTTACCCTGAGCGCACTCTGATATTGCTCATTATGAAATTGATCAAAGAAAACCATAAGATCCCTCAATGTATAAAACGAGGAAACTATCTCTGAGGGCGCTTGAATTGCGATGTCTCTATATCTGAGAGAAAAAAGTGTCTATAATATATATTCATAAATCATTAATAAAATACTTAAAATTGTATAACTGTCAAATACTGTACCTTGTGCTAATATCCATCGCTGTTGCTTGCAATCGTGATCTGAGAGAACCAGGTAATCCTTTTTGACTAACAACTTGCGTCAGAAGTGTGCACATCAAATTGAGAACTTTTTCATGATTTCTAGCTAGATCGTACATCATAACTGCGTCTTCCAAAAGACCTTTTCTATACAATGTCTCGGCGCTAATATTTATCACATCGTCCGTATTGATTTGAAACAAATCTAGAATTCCCGGAAGTCTCCGATCTCTCTCCAATTTACCAACTAGCAAAATTCGATTTGCAGGAGAGGCGTCTACTACCATTTCTGCAGCAGACGCGGCGAACATATTGCGATCATACGGATCCTTCATGCATCTGAAAACGCGATAAATCCAAATGTGTAAAACGGCGCACTAAGCTTAATAGATTTTGAATACTTAATCACACCTTAATAAAAATAGGTAATGAAGGCTCTCTTTCGGATCTGATAATTCAAATCTCTTCACATATAACAATATCAATCTAGCAAAATTCAGTCTTTTTGCTGGTGGTTTATCTGCAGGATCTACACTTATCAGAGGCGCTAGAACACTTTGGCTGACAGCCAACAAATTGTGTTCGTGCATAGCAGCTGCCAGATGCACTGCGTGTGGCAGATGTCTTGCACCAGCACCAGTGGCTAGAAATTCAATCGCTGCTTCAAATTGGCCGGTCAAGAACAACATGGAAAAATATAAGAACGGCTGCTCGTGCGCGTGATAATAAGTTTCTCCTGTGAATTATACACAAATTATAAACAAATTGGAATATCTCAATTTCTTCTATCAGTTGTTAAAATCAGTCCTACCATAAATTTCTGAGATTGTAGTCTGCAAATAGTCCAATGTTAATTTATTTTCAATATCAGCCTGATCTCTCACTTGGCACAATTTTAACCATAAATAATCGTCAGCTGTCGATATCACTTCGGAATGCAAATCATCCGGTTCACAAGGAACTAAAGCGCAATATGCTGCTCGCTTGTAAGGATCACTAACGGATCGCACTTGCTTTCTGTAATGCATCTTTAAAATGGATTCTGCACGACTACTTGGATGATGTTGCGGATCACTGCAAGCTTCTTCTAGAGCTGTTTTAAATTCCACACAACTTTTCAGAAATTCCGTGCTGCATTGGTTCAAACATTGTAAGGCTGCATTGTAATCTCCAGATCGCATACAGTAGTACACTAGAGGCCATAATGGCTTCTTATCAATTACAACATCTTCTAAATCTCTCAAATTTTGCACTTTGACACTTACAAAACTTTTCACTAGAGGTATGGTGCCTGGAATGCCACCTCGTTTTGCTTGTGCCAAATTTTCACTGATGATAGAATTCATAAAGTCTCTATATCGGTTTTCTAGATAGTTTTTGGCTTGTGAAACAATTTTCTGTTCAATTGCCGGACTACTTCTGGATTTAATTTGATCTCCTCTAGGTGTTGGTGGAATATCAACCATGCACTTCACCATTTGCCATAAATCCACAATTTTTTTGTCATTAAAAGACTCAGAGGCTTTGCAGAATGCAGCAAATAAACTAGGTCTTGTTATACCTCTGAGCACATGATCATTATAATTCTGCAGTTCTTTCACATATGAAACTTCTATGCTAGAAAGACCACTAACCATTGAACCAGCTAATTTTGTACGTTGTGGTGCTCCACGCAGATCTACCAGCTCACCAGATGGAGCAGTCATAGAATTTACTATCTCATAACGCATCTGCTTCCACTCACCCAACATATGTTCCATTTGTTGAGTTCTTGTAAGTTCAAATGTCTAAAACATACAACAGTTTATATAAATACACATACATACCAACATACATACACACACATATACACAAATATACATAAGATATATACATAAATACAAGATGAAGTTTAGTGCTTATAAATAAATAAAAAAATCATTATACATACATCTTTATGAACCTGTTCAATGATAGAAAGAATTGCATTTTCTTTTTCATTTCTGAGATAGTTAACAATGTCAGTATCAGCTATAGGATCTAAGGGCTCAAATGTACGTCTTGCACTGAGTGAGTTTAACTTTTGTGATATTTGAGACAAATCTACTCCTCTGGATCCTAATAAAACATGGCTAAAACATTTTATTGTTAAATATACAATAGTATTATCAAAATCATCAGAGATCAAACTACTTAAGTACCAGAAAGTTATTATATGAAATTATATTACAACTTAACATAAATTTCATACATATAAGATATTCTGCAAATTTTTTTACAAAATGTACATCTTCAAAAATAAAACAAAACATACGCCTGCGCTTCGTTGTCTTGCGTGCTGGCTTGTGTCACGCGAGACCATAGTTCGTTAGAAGCCTCCAATATTTGTCGAAGATTTCTTTCGACTTGCGGTAGATCTTCGTTTCCCTCAACAGCGGCAGACAATTGCTCTGCCGATCTAAGCAATTCGCTAAAACCAGAATCGGTTGGCAGTCGCGTTGTATCAGTGGCCAACATATCTGCGTGGCTGATATCATTCATGTTTTTTGTAAGTCGCGATGAACTAAACCCGCGCTAAAACTCTCCCAAGTCCTGCGGTAATGTTTGGTTGGTTTGGTTTGGTTTGGTGATCTTCAGGGGGTTCAAACCATAGACTTAGGCCCGAATTGTAACAGTAAGGGCGACGTTCCATTGAGCGGAAATCTATAGCGGAACGGAATGTGCGGAACCAGCTCGACCAATCATAGCCATTCCGTTTTCTTTCCTTCGCTTTTTCTGTTTCCCTAATGTCCCATGAAGCGGAATACGCGGAAACGGATCACGCGGAATAATATAAAATTAGACTTTTTATGTCATTTACAATACTTATAATAATTAAAATAGTATTTTTATTCAACTACAATAATATATATAATAAATTAGTTAAAAATAAAAGTTCTTTTTTTATAATGTATTTTTAACAAAAAATAAAACTATTTCATGATTGGATAAAACTTGATTACGCTGCCGCGTTTACCGCTTAATGGGACATAAAGAGAAAAAATACATGAGCGGAAAAT